GAATGCAATTCAAAATATTTGCGTGTACAACCAAAGGAAGGTTTTCTACCCCTAATCTTTTACAGGAAAGTGACACCACCCTACAGTTTCAAGAATGCTCTTCCGCTCACTAGCAATGCCTCAGCTTTCACGGTAAACTGCTTTACAACGCAATCGTACTTGAGTAACCATTCATGAACATGTGAATTGCCAATGGGGTTCAAACCGCGGCTTTCCTACTCCTAGCTTGCTAAAAACCAGGGGCTTTATTTGAAGGACTGTTTGCCCCCTCAAGGTCTGATTATCCTCCCCTAAGGCCACAATTTATCATTAATTTTTATTTTTACTAAATCACAACTATATAGGTCCCATTATAGCTTAGAATTGTACTTAGAACTATTTGTTTTACATTTTTCGTTAGCTTCGCTCGCCTTGAAGAGCATATCCATCGAAAATACGGTCATCCATCTTAACGCATTACATCTCTGCCTTTTCACCCGATGGCAGGATGAGGTCAAGCGAGCGGAGGGCGGCACCAACCAGGACTTCCCTGAGGGCGGATTCGATGGCCTCATGCAAGCCATAGTGTGTGAAAAGGACATCAAGTGGCGCAATGTCAGTTTTCGGGTGATCATTTTTTCCACGGACGCTGGTTTCCACTTCGCCGGGGACGGGAAGGTAAAAGGAAGACAAAAATGTGATATTCAGTTTTCACGGTAGTCCAAGAAACTTTTTTTTATGATTTCCGTAATGGTAGGCATGCCAGGTTAAGAAATTACTCTATTGCTGACACTAAGAAAAACCCAATGCACTTAGCATTGATTTCATGCTGTCCATTAGGGCTAAACATGTTTGTCATGCCACAGAAACGTCCACTGATATCGTTAGATTCGCGAGGCAACAGTACAACCTGTAATACAACTGTGCCACGGTCTTGACATGTACTTAGTGTGTGCTGGCATATGAGCTCACGCATGCAGCTTTGACCACATCTTATTGTGTGGTGTCGTAATACCTGCTAGCTGCTAAAAATGCAGTTCAGATATTCATGATAAAGCCAATATGATTCGGGAACAAATGTTTGTGCATTAGCAACTCTCGCTGGTGATGGTGACAAACAGTTTCTTTGGAGGTGTTTTTGCAGCGAGTAAAATGGACCTTGGATGACAATAGGAACAAAGACATCCATGCTGTAGATCCAAAGTCAGAATTCCTTGCTTTCAGTTGATGCAGCATTTAATATTATTTAGACTTTTTTCGTTAAAGATGATTTTTCATTTTTTCCAAGACTGGCGACTTATCGCTGATAAAACTGTTTAGTAAGTTTCCTTTTTTTCATTATCATCGCTACAGCGTTAACACGAGTGTTTTCCTTTACCATTTATTACATAACGAATTTAAAGTATTGGGGGATATCTCAATACACTAAATAACTTCTGAAAATGTCTCTGAAGGTATTAGACATGTTATTAGTGCTGTTCAACCAACTTCATGAGAGATGTCATGAAATCAAACTAGCATGTTATCATTCCTTCAGCTGGCTGGTATCCTAAGACCCAACGACAAGCGGTGCCATCTGGACGCCAACAATGAATACAACAAAGCCATCGTGTACGACTATCCTTCTGTTTCTCAGGTAAGGGAATCATGCTGGATTGGTTACAGCGATCAGAGATGTAAGTTTGCATTTTTCCTTTGCAGTAAAAGAATGCTGAAAAAGGAATTTCAATGAAAAAAAAATAATTTCGTTGGTGTCTCCCCCCTCCGGCAGATCAACGAGATGGCGAAACTACACAGAATCAACCTGGTCTTCGCCATCACAGCCGAACAGGAGCCGCTCTACGCCCGCCTGTCACAGCACATAGAGGGCGCGACTTCTGGCGTGCTGGCCAGCGACTCGTCTAATGTGGTCGACCTCCTCACCAGCAGTCTTAAGGTCTGTTGATAACTCATTGTGCATGCCACCATTATGTGGTATTTGAGGCACTGTACTTTATTGCATTGAAATGCTAAATTCATAGAATATTTGTTCATTGGCCAGGCATTACTTACGATGCCACATGTTACGTCAATGAAAGCTATTTATACTATCAGTTAATCTCTCATTCACCAACAGGACATCATAAGCAAGGTGGAACTGACACAGCGAGACCACAACAGCCACGTGTCAGTGCGTTTCTTCAGCGAGTGCAAGGACGGGGAGATGAAGGAGCGATCCTCGTGCCAGGGACTCGATGTCGGGGACGAGGTCCAGTTCGAGGTGGAGGTCACGGTAAAGAGAGGTCGACGCGTTATATGTAGGCAGTTTCAGTTTGTTTGTTTTTAGCAGTACTGGCAGAAATGTGAGATATGGCAGTGATTGTGGGAAATAAATGGAACACTTTGACAGGCCCTCAAATGCCCAGACAACGAGAAAGATTGGAATCCTGTCGTCGAAGTGTACCCTGTGGGCCGTCAGGGGTCTCTGCAAATCAACCTGGCAATGCACTGCCAGTGCAGCTGTGCTAAGCCAGGTGATAAGGTCAGCATTTGAAGGACATGTCCGCGTTCTGATAAGAAAAGGGGAATTATCTATAAACTTCAGAATAGGATAGAGTGTAAAAGGCGTATGTGCATCTGCAAATGTACCCCAATTATCTGCAGGGCTACATTGTAAACGCGGAGGCATGCATAGTGGAACGGCACCTCCATGTGCGGTGTATGTGAGTGCCACGAGGCTTCCAAGGCAGTGCGAGTGCTACAGCAACGATGACGACGGCACTGGCACCATCAGCGAGGACTCGTGCCGGCAGACGAACACCTCCGCCGTCTGCACCGACCGAGGCCAGTGCGTGTGCGGGCAGTGCCAGTGCAAGAAGCCAGCAGATCCTAGTCAGGTGAGAATTTTCATGGAAACTAAAACAAATTGTAACATGTATATCTGAATTATCCTTTGTATTTGCAAACTGGAATGATATCATTTCATTGAAGTAAGTTGAATTCCATTGATATCCGTCACAGAACATCTATGGGGATTTCTGCGAGTGCACCAATTATCTGGGATGTACAGGCAACGAAGGCTTAATCTGCTCAGGTCACGGAGAATGTGAATGTAATGAATGTAGGTGCACTGGTGGCTGGAGTGGGCCAACATGTTCTTGTGACGGAAACGATGACAAATGCAAAAACCCAGGTGAGAAAAGTTCAAGTTTCCAGTCGCAGAGGTGTATAAAATGTGAGCTCTCCAAAGTTTTCCAGTCGCAGAGCGAAGAGATTGTTAACAATGTTATTGCAGTCTGTGATCAAGCGGTTAACCAAGACAGAATGTGCCTTTGTAGGCACTGAATAGAGATACACAACTCATAACTGGTCTCGCCGGTGGACTCGCACGTCACCTAACAGTGTCTACCAACAGACACGGCACGAGATCTTAGCTCTGGGTCATGTGCGAAATTTGCGACGTGACTTGTATCAATAGCTTTGCATTATTGTCCAAGACGGACCCGCGATGGAGAGCAGATATTGTGACGACTGTCTGTTAAGTTTATTTATCTATTCTCCTTTTTAGCACCATGAAGGGTCCGTGTCACTACTATCCGTCGTTTATGGTATTCTACCCGCTACCCCTTGTTTGCTGATGCTGCGTTCTGAATCTCTGCCTGTAGATTGACCTTCTGCTAGTCCTACGCTCGCGCGTTACTTCTCTCTGATGGTCAGTATGTCCTTGAAATGTGCTTGGAATTGTCTTTGTTTCTCAATAAGTACCGTTACTTATGTTCTTTGTTGGATCCCTCTCACCCACCCTGCACTAAAACATGGTTTTTGTTTTACACCGCGTTATTTTGCATAACCGAACGAGCGTGGAGCTGGTTCCGATTGTCTAGTTATTGTTATTATGTTTAATACGAAACAAAAGTGCACACGTTGATTTACTCTCGGAGAGTTGGACCTCTGAAAAGGCTTAGGCGATAGTAACATCGCTATTAATGGCATAGCTGCATTTCCCCTGCTCCAGGTGTTAGCCGCGCCTGTTAGTGTGTATGATATTTTTGTTGAGACAGTACTGGTTTGAATGGTGGGAAGGATCTGCTCTGAAGAGGAAAATCATGGAAAGTCTTGGGTTGTACATATATTATGTAGTTTGGCGCGATTTTTTTGGGGTTTAAGCTAGTTTTTATGGTTCTCCGTTTATTAATCTAAATATTTATTGCTGGACGTGTTTCCTTGGGCACGCTGTTGAGTTTGGTGAGGTGGTACTGTTGGAACTGTTACTCTTTCTTTCTGTTCGCGAGATAAATGCAGATTCATCTGAATCCGCAGTTGGGAGATGCACTAGACTACAAGCCCTGCTCCAAGTGCAAATGGCGATCGACGGTTGTTGCCGAATTACCGTGATGGTAGCATAGTAGTATATCTATTATGTCACTGGTTGATAACGGGCCTGGCCACGGCTACAACAAAATTTTTGCGAAGGGAGGAAGTCGCCGGCCGATGCTGATCGACTCGACTATCCGCGAAATGAATACAACATCATGCGATAAACCAGTCATGAAGCAAGTAGAAGGTAGTAGGCTGAACGTCCTTCACCATTTTGAACATTAGCTGTGTCGAATTTTTCTTAGTCGTTAAAACTGTGGTCGAGGTATCTGAGACACAAGCATTTTGCTAATCCTATTTGGTTTTAGCGGTGGTATCGTTGATTGAGGAAGGATGTGTATTGTCCGTGGTAAACGTTCTAGTAGAGAGATTTTTGCTTTGTTAGTTCTGTGTACAATTTCGCTTTTTTGAATGTTTTAGTCTCGATAAATTCTTGTAAACCTCCAGTTTTTATTTGAACAGAAATATTAATCTGTGTGTTGGAGCGAGGGGATTTTCTAAATTAATATGTGCGGTGTGTGTAATTGAAAGAGAACATCGCAATAGTTATTATCTGTCAAATGTTATCATTAATTATACATCAGCCAGGTTTTCGAAGTTCCGTGGATCATATTATAAGACTCGACTAAATTATATTTACGTGCGTTGTTCTATTGAATTGGTCATATATAGCTATTTCTCTACACTAGAACACAGTGGCATGAATTCCTCTGATCAATGGTGGTCTCTTACTCAAATTAAGCTTACACATTTTCTAATCACGTGCATGGATTAATACTACGGATAAGATTTCAAATTCCGGTATGATTTGGACATTGAGAACCGATCCAGGGAGAAAAAGTGTTCGTTTTTACGATGATAAATGGGGACTGCGTCCTGTCTATTCGTTTATACCGTTTAGAAGTCTCTGACAAGTGTGACAGCGCATACGAGTTGCCAGGAGGTAGAAAGGATAGTGCCTCCCAACCCTTCAACATCTAGGTAAACTTTTTGAACTTATGTGGTATTTGCCTTGGTGAATATGTATAACGTCACACTAGTTATTTAACTATGTGCTACTCATATATAATTTATAGTATATATGTGTGGTTATGTGAGAGTGTGTGCCTTGTGCGGGAGTGTTGTGTGTGGTTGTGTTGGTGAGTCTTCTGCTTTGTGTGTGTACTGCGCTGTGTGTGTTGTGTGTATACTACATATATGCTCTCGCTCTCTCTTTCTCTCTTATGGGAGAGAGAGTGAGTTATCTTATTTAGTGCTTATTATATGATATACTATTTTAGTTATATTGAGTATCGTGAGTAGTGAGTACTATATTATATAGTATATTAAGTTATTAGTTTATATTTATTATTTTAGTTACTAAGTTCTATTGTTTATAATTTGTTAATATACATGTATTATATGTATACTATATTGTAACATATATGACACAGTTATATGATATGCCAATATATGTATAATAAATATATAGATGGTTCTATAATATATAGCTATAGGATATATAGTGTGAGTATCTTTATGCTTTATTAATATGGTAATGACTATATAATTGTTATTATTCATTGGTGATGCTGTTCGCTGTTGTGTGTGATGTTTTGTGTGTTGTTGTGTGTGTGCTACACATCGCACACACACACACACTATACACACACACACACACACAACCAGCCTTATTTTATACGCCCTAGTAATGACATTATTATATGTTATCTACTATTGTGAATATACGGTTATGTTGAGTATATATTTAAGATTTATTATATATATTTTTATATGCTTACTTATATATTCGAAGGATTTCATATATTTTGTGTAATAGATTGGGTTATACATACTATGCTATCATGCTAATACTGAATATACTATATCTATAATAATATTACTTACGGAGTGTATTTATTTATTTATAACTAGTAATATATGTGTTGTGATTGTGTTGTGTGTGTGGTGTTCTCCCATTGTTATTAGCATATTGTGTGTGTGTGTGGTGGTGTTGTACACATATGGTATATTCTAATATACGAGTTATATATACATACATATATGTTAGACTCGATTATATATATATAATGTAATGGTATTATTTTATAGTACTGTGATTATATATTTTACATATATATGGGTAATGTCATTATATATCTATGATAGTATTGACTATATATTATATATAATTATATACAATACATAAGTATATTATGATGTACCTTAGTATGTCCTAACTACATATATACATAATATCTATCGTCCTTTGCCGTATACAATATAATATATACATAGGTTATATCTGATTACTATAGTAACATACTAGATAGATATTTATATTTATATCTTCCATCATCATCTGCGATATATGCTATATTGTGTGGTGTTGTCTTGTCTGTATCTTATGATTTTGGTGCTTTCTATCTATTCATATTGCTAGTAAGTGAGTTATATATATCATCTTATATATATATATCATTATATATATCATTTATACGTATATTGCATATGTTGCCTTTATATTTGTATATTCGAGTTCGTGGAGTATACAAGTTCGTAATTTTAGTATACCTCTATGCAGATATTTATATAATTATATATATTATTTATTATACATATATGCATGCGGTGTGTGTTGTGTGCTTGTATGTGTGCTCTAAATGTGACCTTTATGGGCTCTCATATTATATTACTATATATGTACACCCTATATCTACACAAGTGATATCAACCTATAGTGAGTACATATATGTGTGTGTGCGGCCGATGTGTGTGGTGTTGTGGTGTGATTCGTGTGATCGGAGAATGTGTGTGTGTGCATGTGTATGTTTGTGCATGTTGTGTGTGTGTGTTGTGTGCTTGTGATGTGTGTGTGTGTGTGTGTGGTGTACATGTTATACAGTATACAATCATACAGTATACAGTATATAATATATAGAAATATATAGTGCTAGCTCTAGGCGATATGATATGACTAGCGTATACGTAGATATATATAGTATACACTATCATATGCTCAGCACACGACACACACACACACATGCGAGCCACACTACAACACACACACACACACAACACACCACCCACCCCACATATATAATATATTATATGAGTACTAGTATCATTAATTATATAGTATATCACTATAATTTTTAGCTATAACGTACGTTATATATGCTACTA